GATCAGTGAACACATTCTATATGATTTTCATTATTTTAAGTATGCTTGAGACAGGAGTTGAGTAGATCCGGTTCCACAAGATACAAATCTTAAAGACGCCCACCGACAAAACAAGATGCATTAAAGAAGATGGTCATGCAAGTCACCTCTGGTTGTCCTCGCTGCTCATTATATGCTAACTATAATACTATATATAATAAAAGTAACTACCACCAGCACCATGATGATTTATAAATGCCATGGCAAAGTCTGAAGTTACCTTTTATGGTCTGAAAGGGAAAGGAACCCTCAGTTGTGGGAATTCTCCATCCCTTTCCCAGAAAACTCAAGAATAATCCACCCCTTGTATAGCATATATATAAAAAAAACCAAAAACATAAAAATAAGCAATCACCACCCCCTCCGGGCTGCTCTGTTTATGGAGTAGCCACTCTTTTATTCCTTTTACTTTCTTAATAAACTTGCTTTCACTTCACTCTGTCAGCTCACTCTGAATTCCTTCTGCACAAAGCCAGAAACCCACGTGGCCTCCTGGGCTGAACTCCAGTTTTGGGGTTTGCCCTGTGACATGTTGATGTTTGTTTTATGGCCCAGAATATGTTCTATCTGGGTACTTTAAAGGAAGTATAATGTGCTGCTGTATAGACAGTTCTACAAATATCAATTAAATTCTGATTTTATTGTGTTTTTAGAATTTCATTTTGATTTATCTAGTGTTTTTGAGTGTACCTGTTTGTATTGCTGTTTTAGTGGTTGTTCTTGGTATTACGTTATATACAGTCATGCATTGGTTAATGTTGGGGATGCACGTTGTGGTTTTGTCATTGTGGGAACATTCTAAAATGTACTTACACTAACTTAGATGGTATAGCCTACTACACATCTAGGCTGTATGCTATAGCTTATTGCTGCTAAGCCACAAACCTGTATACTGTTACTGTATTGAATACTTTAAGTACCTGTAACACATTGGTAAATATTTGTGTATCTAAATATATTTAAACATAAAAAAGGCACAGTAAATATATGGAATTGTAATATTAAGGGACCACTGTTATACATGCAATCCATCATTGACCAAAATGTTGGTATGTGGCACATGACTGTATATGTGATTTATCACAGTAATTTATCATTGCAGTCAATATTTTACGAATTCAAGTGAAGTGCAGAACCCTTACCTCCCTTTATATAGTCCTTTATCCTTCCGCATTTATAATTAATTGTCTTAAACATTCTCCCTATGTATATTGAACACTACCTTGGAGAGTTGTATAATTTTTTTCCAACTATGAAACATAATTTAGAACACTCAAGAGGAGAAGGGAAGTCTATTGCATTTAACAGTATTTTTGCTCTTACCATGTTCTTTCTTTTGTTCTGATATTCCAAGTTTTTCTTTTAAAAATTATTTTCTTTCTGCTTGAGAACTTCCTTTAGCTGTTCTTTTGCATTGGCCTGCTGTCAACTAATGCTCTCAGTTTTCCCTCATCAGAGATTACCTTGATTTCCTTTTCATTCCTAGAGGATATTTTCGTTGGATATATAATTTTGAGTTGACAGTTCTTTTCTTTCAACACTCAAAAAATGGCGTGCCACTTCCTTCTGGCCTCCATGGCTTCTGAGGGGAAATTCACTGCCATTCAAATTACCTTTCCCCTAAAGGTAATGCATTCTTTTTCTCTGGCTGCTTTCAAAATGTTTTGTCTTTAGTTTTCATAAGTTTGACTTTGATTTGTTTAGGTCTAGATTTTGTTTGGTTTATCCTGTTTGGGATTTACTCAGCTTTTGAATCTGTAACTTTGTCTTTTTCCATATTTGGGAAGTTTTCAGTCATTATTTCTTCAAGTTCTTTTTTATCCCTATCTTCTTTGTCGTCTCCTCCTGGAACTCCAATGACAGAAATATGTGATGTTTTGTGGTTAGTTCCACAAGTCCTGAAGCCTCTGTCCTTTATTTCAGTCTGTTTATTTGGCTTGGCTCAGATTGTTCTATGTTCAAGTTCAGTTAATTCTTTCCTCTGTCCTCTCTATTCTGCTGTTGAACCTGTCATTGAGGGTTTTTTTTTATTATGGTTATTATAATTTTCAGTTCTACTTTCCATTTTTTAATTCTTTATATCTTCTGTTTCTTTGATGAGACTCTGATTTTTTACATTTGTTCAAGTATATCTGTAATTGCTCACTGACTGCCAGTTAACTTTTTATTTTTAAAATCCTTATTAGATAAATCTAATGTCTGCCATCTCATTGCTGGTTTCATTGATTGTCTTTTGCATTCAAGTTAAGATTTTCCTGGTTCTTGGTGTGCAGAGTGATTTTTGATGAAATCAGGACATTGGGAGTGTTATGTTGTGATTCTCTGGTCTCATTTACATTCTCTTTTAGCTTGCTTCCTTTGATGTGCTCCAAAAATGGGAATGGTGGGGCACTATCTCTTTACTACCAGGTGAAGATAAAACTCCAGGTTTCCTGCTTGTCTTCCCATTGAAATTGAGTGGGCTAGGCGAGGTGGCTCCTGCCTGTAATCCCAGCACATTGGGAGGCCAAGACAGGCAGATCACTTGAACCCAGGAGTTTGAAATGCCTGGCCAAAATGGCAAAACCTGGTCTCTACAAAAAATGCAAAAATTAGCCAGGCTTGGTGGTGTGCGCCTATAGTCCCAGCTGAGGTGGGAGGATTGCTTTTGCCCAGGAAGTTGAGGTTGCAGTGAGCTGTGTTCACACCACTGCACTGCAGCCAGGACTGTAGAATGTGGCCCTGTCTCAAAAAAAAAAAAAAAAAAAGAAAAGAAAGAAAGAAACTGAGAGCGGGAAGAGCTTCTCTTACTACTGGTCACAATGACTCTCCACCGGGGCCGGCTGATACTACCTGGCTGGGAGGAGGAGTGGTACCTTGTGGTTCCCATTGAAACTGTAAGGAGTCAGCAGATGGCCTTATTACCTATGAGAGATAGTAGAAGTCCTGACTTTCTAACAGGTTTCATCTGACACCACCCCAGCAAGAAAGTGGATTACTGAATTGCTGGATGGGGTAGAAATTTTGGCTCCCACATGGTCTCCAGGGATGCCTTGGTGGTGGTTGGGCGGGGTGGGGAATGCTTTCATTTCTTCCCAGTGAGGATGAAAGTCCTCCTCAGTTGGTTTTCTCTGACACACCCCATAGAGGGAGTTGGGGTGCATCAGTATAGCCCTCACAAGGGTATAGGTGTTTTCTGTCTTTCCACTTGCTAGGCTGCCCCTTTCCTGGTCTTCTGACTCAAGAGAGTGTAGGCTTTTATGGGTTTTTGGGTTTTTTTTGTTGTTGTTGTTGGTGGTGATCTTTCCTGGTTACCAGCTTCTCTATAATCTAGTTTGGGATATATGAGGTAAAAAGAACTCAAGGAAAACTCATTACCATGTTGTTCTTTGTGTCCTGTGGTACTTTTCCACTTTTCAGTGTTTAACGTTTGTTTATATATAATGTCCAAAATGTTTAGTTATACATAGAGGAAGAAATAGGGAAAAATGTCTATCATTTCAGAAGCAAAAGTGTCTGAAGTATATATCTTTAAAAGGATAAAATGTAATAAGATTTTTGTTGTTGCCTTTTTTTGAACCTAGCAGTCTTCTTGGGTGAAGAATTGTTTAGATAGAGAACGGAAGTTGCTTTTTAGGAACTGAACCAGTGTGAGATACAGCTATCCTGGTCAGAATTTTGTATTTGACCCTGTGTTCTAGAGATTACATCTTGTGTAGGGTAGAAGGATGGTGATACTTGATGTCTAGATTGTACCCTAGACCAGGGGTCCCCACTTCCCAGGCTATGGACTGGTAACTGTTCTGTGGCCTGTTAGGAACTGGGCTGCACGGCAAGAGGTGAGTGGCTGTGAGCATTACCCCACCTGAGCCTCCGCCTCCTATTGTGAACTGTGCATGTGAGGGATCTAGGTTGCAGCATTCCTTATATCCTTATGAGAACTAATGCCTGATGATTTGAGGTAGAACAGTTTTATCCCCAAACCATCCCTCCACACCCCTCCCCCCCACCCAACCTCCTATCTGTGGAAGCTGTCTTCCTCCAAAACCAGTCCCTGATGCCAAAATGGTTTGGAACCACTGTCCTACATCATCAGATCATATACTCAGAGGATAAGATGCAGGCATCAGGCATCAGGTGTTGGTGTTTTTGTTTTTGTTTTGTTTTTTTGAGACAGGGTCTTGCTGTGTCACCTAAGCTGAAGTGCACTGGTGCAGTCATAGCTCACTGCAGCCTTGAACTCCTGGGCTCAAACAGTCCTCCTGCCTTATCTTCCTGGGTAGCTGGAACTACAGGCTTGTGGCACCATGCCTAGCTAATTTTTTTTTTTTTTTGTAGAGACAGGGTCTCACATGGTGCCGAGGCTGATCTGGTCTCACATGGTGCCCAGGCTGATCTTGAACTCTTGGCCTCAAGCAGTCCTCCTGCCTCAGCCTCCCAAAGCACTGGGATTACAGGTGTGAGCCACTGCCCCCCAGCCAAGTATTTTTTATAAGTTTTCTAGATGATTCCTAGGTATAGCCAAAATTGAGAATCACTAGCCTAGGGTAATGGCTCTTGACATTTATCTGACTATAAAATTACTTGGGATGTCTATCCATTTGGGTTTTCCAGGAAGCAAATATCAAGATGGAATTAGAAGTGTAAGAGATTTATTGGGGGAGATTCCTGAGAAGGACAAAGTAAGTGGCACCTTTAAATAATCAGGTCTCAAATCTAATGACCCTACTCATCACCTGGATGAAAGCAGATCTAGGTATTTATTGATACTTGCATGCCATGCATTGTGCTATTGATGAGGATTCATTCAAAAACGAATTGTTTTATTGTTGTACCTTTCAAAGAATTTACATTATCTAAAAAGAGTGGGAGGGGCCTCATTTATGAAAACACATCCTTACAATGCAATGTGATGATTTCTTGATAAGACAGTTTATTTTGTATATTTTTGTGTTATGAAAAAATTTCATTTTAAACCACAGATTTGCACGGGAAGATCTGATCAGCTGGAATTAGAGTTGGTACAGAAACCAATTCATCTCCAAAAATGTTGGAGGAAGATATGGAAGTTGCCATAAAGATGGTGGTTGTAGGGAATGGAGCAGTTGGAAAATCAAGTATGATTCAGCGATACTGCAAAGGCATTTTTACAAAAGACTACAAGAAAACCATTGGAGTAGATTTTTTGGAGCGACAAATTCAGTATGTACTTGGCCATTTTATTCCTTTGGCTTTGATTTGTGAACAACATCCAGGAGTCATTGGAGTAATAGTTAATTACAGTACCTTTCGAGGTGTGGCAACTAGTGGTAGTTCTCATGTGACAGTGATGGTGGTTTTCAGTTACTCATTACATATGTAACTTTATCCTTTTTTTCTTCTTTCATCTATTCCCTTCCTCTTTCATTTTTTTTTCTTTTTCTACCCCCTTCCCATTTTTTTTTTCTGTCTCATATGTGTTTTATATTTATTGGTGACATCTTGGGCACATCTTAAAAACAAATTGATGCTTGACTCCAGTGAAATTTCCAATTGCTATTTTCTTTGGAATGAAGTTATATTATGGGCTCTTTTTTTATTAGAATGTCTCTTCTCTTTTTGAAACTGGGCAAGACTATATGGAAGTTACAGAATTAATAGTTTGCTTTTACTCTAAAGAAATAAGACAAAACAGATTTGGGAGGACTAAATTTGCCTATGAAAAGGAAATCCTGCCTGCTACAGTGGCTCACGCCTGTAATCCCAGCACTTTGGGAGGCTGAGGTGGGTGGATCACCTGATGTCAGGAGTTTGAGACCAGCTTGGCCAACAGGGTGAAACTCTGTCATTACTAAAAATAGAAAAATTAGCTGGGCATGGTGGCTCATGACTGTAATCCTAGCTGCTTGGAAGGCTGAGGCAGGAGAATCACTTGAACCCAAGAGGTGGAGGTTGCAGTGAACTGAGATCAGGCCATTGCACTCCAGCCTGGTGACAAGAGGGAATCTCTGTCTCAAAAAAAAAAAAAAAAGAAATAAAAGGAAATCCTACTTTAGGAAATTCATTTGGATTCTAAAACACATTCAGGGTAATATTTTTTTATCATTAGTCCTGAGAACTTATAAGGATATTTTAAATTGTAGCAAACTAAAATGTATTACGCAAATAAGAAGCATCACAAACCTGACTTACTGGCCGAACTTTCACATCAACAGTAATTGTGTTTATCATTTTAAAGATTAATTTCTGTTTGTATTCTATTACTCTCTTTTTAAAATTATTTCCATATTTGCTTTCTCTCTTAGAGCATATTTTAAGAACAAGTATTTTAAGTCTTGATAATGTTTGCTTTTTGTACTTATTATCTGAAACCAAATAAATATTTTAAGTATATAGTTGATCTTTATTATTTTTAGATTCTGCATATTGAAATTCACCCACTTGGTAATATTTATTTGTAATCCCAGAATCAGTATTTGGAGTACACTTGTGGTCATTTATGGACATACATAGAGCAGCAAAAAATTTAAGTTGCCCAGCATGCACTTTCCCAGCTGAGGTCATCAAACAAGTCTGCTTTCCTGTTTCAGCCCCTCATACAGTAAACACATGTCCTTTGTGTGTTCTGTTTAATGCCACATTTTTTACATGTTGTGCTTTTTCTTGGTTATTTTGCTGTTTAAGAAGGCTCCTAAGTGTCATCTGAAGTGCTGTCTAGCATTCCTATATACAGAAAGGTTATGATGTGCCTTGTGGAGAAAATGGATACCTTAGATAAGCTTTGTTCAGACATTAGTTACAGTGCTGTTGGTCGTGAATCCACTGTTAATGAATTAACAATATATATCAATAAGGTGTCTTTAAACAGAAACACACATAAAACAAGGTTACATATTGAGCAGTTGATGAAAATGTAACCAGGGATTCTCAAGAACCTAACCCTGTATTTCCCTTAGGAGCAGTGGTCAGTATTTACTAATTCAGTGTTCATATTGACATTACAGAACATAACTACTCTGAATAATGAGAATTGACTGTATGATAAAATAAAATTAAGTTTAAGGGCAACCAGGGAGCCCGGGAAGTAAATGCAATTTCTTTTTTTGAGACAGAGTTTTGCTCTGTAGCCCAGGCTGGAGTGCAGTGGCGCAATCCTGGCTCACTGCAATTTCTGCCTCCCAGGTCCCAGTTCCAACAATTTTCCTGCCTCAGCCTCCTGAGTAGCTGGGATTACAGGCCCGTGCCACAATGCCCAATTAATTTTTGTATTTTTAGTAGGGACAGGGTCTCACCGTGTTGGCCAGGCTGGTGTTGAACTCCTGATCTCGTGATCCGCCCGCCTTTACCTTCCAAAGTGCTGGGATTACAGGCGTGAGCCACCGTGCCTGGTCTTTTGGCTTTTATTTTTGAGACACAGTTTCACTCTTTCTCCCAGGCTGGAGTGCCAGGCTCAAGCGATTCTCCCTCCTCAACCTCCTGAGTAGCTGGGACTACAGGCATGTACCACCACACATGGCTAACTTTTGTATTTTTGGTAGAGACAGGGTTTCACCATATTGGCCAGGCTGGTACTCAACTCCTGGCCTCGAGTAAGCTGCCCACCTTGGCCTCACAAAGTGCTGGGATTACAGGCGTGAGCCACCACGATTGGCAGTAAATTGCTTTTTTGCCTTCTTAATCTCATTTTACACAAAGGCACCAGAACCCTTTAGAATGATGTAGGGAAAGAAGAGCAAGCATTGACCTAAGGGAATTCCCCTCCCCAAAAACGTTAGTCTTAGACCACTACTACCTATGACTGTGTCACAGAAAAAAACATGGCAGATAAATCTGAATCATATGGGGAGCTATAGCTTTGGGGGAATATTTTTTACTGTTTTACTGTTGGTAATAATATCAACCTCTTATAGAGTTTTTCAGGGTGAAACTGACAGTGTACATGTGGTTCCCTGACTTATGATGGTTTGACTTACAATTTTTCCAACTTTAGCATGGGTTTATTGAGACATAGCCCCATCATAAGTTGAGGAGCATAAGGATTTATAATAGTTCAGTTTATGTTTTTTGACTTTACAGTGGTTTGATGGGGTGTTAAATGCATTTTTGACTTAAGGATATATTTGACTACAATACTTTCAACTTACAGTGGCCTTACCAGGAGTTATAGTGCTTGTCAACCAATGGGTTTATTGGGACATAACCCATCGTAAGTCAAGAAACATTTGTGGTTTTAATATCTTTGGATTTGAAAACGAAAAATATACACAAAGCTATATTACCAAAAACATTTTCCTTTACATGTGAAATAAATGCATCTCTTGTTTTAGAGTTAATGATGAAGATGTCAGACTAATGTTATGGGACACTGCAGGTCAAGAGGAATTTGACGCAATTACAAAGGCCTACTATCGAGGTAAAACACAGGATTGATTGATTTATTTTGTTTGGGCACATCATTTTGGCTAAATAACTAACTTTGCTTTCTTTGTTTCCCACATAAGGGTTTCTCTTGAAGAATCGTTAAAATAATTTCAAAGTATTTTTTAAAACCCCAGTTCATTATTCTTTTAAAGATTTTGTATAGTGGGAAATAACACCTGGTACCATAAACAGTTTGTCTGTGCCTTAGAATTATGACTTATGTAGGCATTCCCAGACCAAATCAGGAAGAAACTGTCAAATGCCTACTTTGAACCCAAGAAAATGACTGTATAGTCAGAGAGTGGAAGCTAACATATGAAAAAGTAAAGCCCCAGCAAATAAGATGGCATATTCTTAGGACACGTGAAATGGCATGGTAAAGCCTTTTCAGTGCTATAGGAGTTCAGAGAAGTATGAGATACCTGTGAAAGGAAGGAACCATGAGTGAAGAATTTAAGGCTCCAAAATGTGGGCTGAAATTTCTTAAAAGGCTAAATGAAACTCCTGAATGGAACTTAAAAGTTTTCCTTTAACATTTTCCTATAAAATTTTGCCCTTTTCTTTTGGAATTTAAACACCATTTTCAGTGTTCCTGTAACTCAGCTGCCAATAGTGATTGAAGTGAGAGAACACAATAACAAAATCTTGATGGAATACCATATAGCATTATAGCCTGTTGATGCCAAGTAAATATTAATTGATCATTCATATTGACAAGTATTTAATACCTTGCATTTCACAGATGCTGGGGGAGATACAAAGGCACAGCCGGTATACTGATTATCCCTTCTATGACGTCCCTCTTTTCTGAACTTTTCACTGTGTTGTAATTAAAACTTGCTCCTAAAGACACAATTTCCCCTGCCACCTTCTCTAAGGGAGGCTTTTTACCCCTATTCCTGCCTACTCACATTCTATAGGACTTAAAGGATGTTGGGCAGAGAGTATCTTGTTTCTCACTACTGCTTCCAAACCATTCCTCCTCTTTTCTCCTTCAAAAACCTGGGCACCTTGCAAGTCCAGGTCATGAGATTTTTACCCACCACTAATGCCCCTGCTTGCCATGGTCCATCGACTTCCTTTATAGTCCATCACCTCCTTTCTGATAACACTGGCCTCTGGCTCAGTTTCTTCACTAAAATTGTTCGGGTTACTTTTTCAAAATTCATCCTGTTTCTTATTTCCGTGTTGTTTTCAAGGCCAACAGTTGTTTCATTACTCCAAAATCTAAACCTCTGTAGTCTCCCACTCACTGACCACTACTGCCTATGCTTGTGCTTGCTAATTTTAATACCCAAACTCTGTCTTGAAACCATCAAGAGCTTCTCTGTTCATTGACCCTACCACTTTTTAAATATGACCTTCCACATGGCTTTACTTCTTCCCTTCCTCAACTTAGTTTTTCTAGTCCTGTAAGCATTTGCTTGCAAGGACCTTTAACCCCCTGACCTGAGCTCTCTGCATAATACTTGCTCAGCAAAATGCCCAACCCAGTTAAACCCAACTGTCTACCAATCTGCATCCAAGCACCTGAACCATATAGAGAATATCAGACAACCATTAAGACTAAACTTTGAAGCTACCAGCACATGAGTGTGTACTGCTGCCAGACACTCTCAGTATTCTTTACTCAAGTCTCTGTCATTTTCCAAAAGACCTCTTTTGTGTTTTCTCTTGCCTTAACTTTGGGGATTCCTTCCTCCTCTCTACTCTCTGCTGATTTCTTTGCTTCACTCTTCTTTGAGAAAATAGATGAAATCAGTGAAAACTGTTTTAACCTTCTCATTACTAAATCACTTTCTTGGTTAAAACTCTTCAGCATCACATACACAGGACTTTACAACAGTGTTTCTCCTTGTCTGCCTAGCATCATCTGCTGATTCTTCACTTGTACCTCACCCTTGAGAAATCCCCCAATTATTTCTTTCCTTTTACACTGCCTGGAATGCTTTCTTGTCTTCCTTGACCTTCTTTCTACCTTCAAGCTTAACAGCTCAGAAGTCTCCGTGAAACTTTTTGTGGCTCTCATCCCTGAAAAGTTAATAATTTTTTAAGCTAATTCAGTATGTTTATTGCATTTATCACTCTGTAGTATTTGCATATTTATTTTCCCTAACAAATTATGAGTTACTTTAGCTTCTGGCTTATGGAGTAGTAGGGTTTTTGTCTTTGTCTCCCCAGCCCCATTGCATAGCATCTGTTGGCTCATGTGAATTCAGTTGTCTCTTAGGAGACAGTATCATTTTAGATAATTTTTTTATAAAGTAAAATTTTACTGGTTCATCACACAGTCTCATTTTACTTATCAGATGCTATAACTTTATTTGTGACCTTAAGTAATGGGTGAAATTTTGTGTGTGTGTGTGTGTGTGTGTGTGTGTGTGTATGGCTTCTTTGTCTTAACTTGTATTTCTATTGATATAACATTTCTTGAAAACATATCTGAAAAGTTTCCTTTAAGATAATTATCTTTTTTACTTCTTAAATACACACACACACACACACATACATTTAATACACATTTGCTGAATAAAACTTCAAATCTAGAGAAACAGTCATGGGGGCAACCATAAACACAGTAGATCCTACTTTCCTGAGGCTTCCGGTTCAGAGAGCAAATATCTTTAAGTGAAATAATTTATAAATGTGTGTGTGTATAGATAGATAGATAAGTGTATATATACATATATGTTTATATTTATAAATATGTGTATATAAACACATACACATATATATTTGTATTTATAAATATATATATAAGTTATTTCACTTAAAGATATTTGCTCTCTGAACTGGAAGCCCCAGGAAAATGGGATCTGCCTTGTTTATTGTTGCCCAGATGACTGTTTCTCTAGATTTCCAGTTTTATTCAGCAAATGTGTATTAAGTGTCTCTGTTGTTCTAGGGATATAATAAACATAGTAAACCTTGCCCTGGCTTCTTTGTCTTAACTTGTATTTATATTTATATAATAACACTTCTTGGAAATATATCTGAAAGTTTCCTTTAAGATAATTATCTTTGTTACTTCTTAAATCTCCTTTTGTTTTCCCCTTTTAAATCTACTCTTTGGTATCATAAAAATTAAAATATATTCTATCTTAGTACTTAGAATGCTAGTAGTTGAATGCTAAACAGTGCTAAAGAACAGATGATATGGAAGCAGTTATGAATTATTTTTTCAAAATCTCTTTAAACATCCTGTATTGAAAGATACAGGTTTAATGAACTGAAATAAAACGTATACCATGGAAATTCTTCTGACTTCTTCATGGAAGTCTTCTTTAATATGTCACTTTATCCAACTTGAAAGGGAATCTATGTTTGTGTGTCCTGGATTATCTGAGAAGCAATACGTGAGAATAGAACAGATATATTGAATAGCAGTACAACAGTATATGTCTCTTGAAGAAATCTATATATATGAAAGTTCCAAGTGACCATGTTAATGAATTTTTAGTACAGTTTCATATAAACACAATTTCTTCTTTTAGACAGGATTTACTACTGATTTTATTGAACCAGCTTGCTTCTTCACTGTATTTGCAAATTTATACCATATATACTTGAGAAACAGTGTGACTTTTTGAATATATATTCAAAAGTAACTTTTGAATATATAGCCTATTTTTTTCACTTTTGAAAATGTGGGATTTATTATAACAATGGCAACTAAGGTTTAATAATTATATTAACATATAAATGATCAAATAAGTTGCCTTTCTGAATTGGTATCAAGGGAACTTAACTTCCATTGCCTGCTGTAAAAAACATTTTGGTTTCTTGCTACCACTACTTACAACTGTGTTTACTGTGTACTTTAAGGCTTCCCATCCACAGTAGCTTTGGTTATTTTCTGTGGCTGGCAGTTTGGATCCTGAGCACCTGTATCATGGTGTAAGGTGGAGAATTACGTTTTTACTACCCCAAACCCTTAGAATAGATGGTATTGTTTTTTCTCCCAAAGCTCTGTCACTCAAGTAGATGGTATTTTTATCAAATTATGAATTTCATCAGCGTGGACACTGTTGATTAACAGGTCCTAAATGTACAGTTTTATTCTTGAGTAAAGATTATTTGTATTTTTTTAATGGGGTTATTACTCTACCTTCCCCACACGCTAAAAGTAAATAAATAAATATACATAACACCTAGGTGGAAACACCAAAAAGAAGTAGGATTACTTGAGATTTTTGTTATTTTCTTTTTATCTGCTGAACTTTATCCTCTAAATTCTCTGCATGAAATGTCTGTTCATTTTTTTTTTTTTTTTTTTTTTTTGAGGAAATAGAGAGGCTGGGATACTCCTTTCCAAGCTTTTGACAGTTTGATGTGGCAGTATTACTTTTTAACCAATAGGGTTATTTTTAGAGAATATATTTGACATTATGTATCTATAATTTAAAAGGCAAAACCGGCTAGGCGCAGTGGCTCATGCCTGTAATTCCAGCACTTTGGGAGCCTGAGGCAGGCAGATCACCTGCCTCAAACCAGAGTTTGAGACCAGTCTGGCCAATATAGTGAAACCATATCTACTAAAAATACAAAAAGTAGCTAGGTATGGTGGTGCACACCTGTAATCTCAGTCCTGGGGAGGGTGAGGCATGAGAATAGCTTGAACCTCGGAGGCAGAGGTTGCACTGAGCCGAGATCATGCCATTGCACTCTAGCCTGGGCAAAAGAGCAAGACTGTCCAAAAAAAAAAAAGAGCGTATCTTAGTAATTTAACTTGTTTTTAGCCAACTATATTAAAATGGCAAAGAGGGTGTGAGATACTGAGATAGGTCCTCAGTTTCAGCTTCTTTTTCTAAATGGTAAAAAATAAACATCACAATACAGTATGATTTAAGGAAGAAACAGCAATTACACATAACTCTGAAAAACAGTATATTTAACATTCTTTTATGTTTTCCCTTTGGGGTTCCATTGGAATGCTTTTGGTTGCAGACAAGAGAAAAGGAATTTCAAACTGGCTTAAACTATATAGATGGA